GAGGGAAGTGGAACAGTGAGGTTACAGGGGGCTGAGGTCAAGAAGGTGCAGGAGTTTAAGTATTTGGGGTGGAAAGTCCCGTGTGATGGGGAGTGTAGGAAAGAGGTGAAGAGGCGAGTGCAGGCGTGTTGGAGTGGGTGGAGAAAGGTGTCAGGAGTGTTGTGTGACAGAAGAGGGTCAGCAAGAATCAAAGGAAAGGTGTACAAGACAGTAGTGAGACCAGCTATGCTGTATGGGTTAGAGACTGTAGCAGTGAGGAAAAGACAAGAGGCAGAGATGGAGGTAGCAGAGATGAGGATGTTGAGGTTCTCTTTAGGAGGGACCAGGATGGACAGGATTAGGAATGAACACATCAGAGGGACAGCTCAGGTCGGCTGTTTTGGGGACAAGGTCAGAGAGGCCAGATTGAGACTGTCTGGACGTGTAGAGGAGGGATAGTGGTTATATTGGTAGAAGGATGTTGGAGATGGAGCTGCCAGGCAAGAGGTCAAGAGGAAGGCCAAAGAGGAGATATATGGATGTGCTAAAAGAGGACATGAAGTTAATTGGGGTGAGAGTAGAGGATGAGGAGGATAGAGTTAGGTGGAAACAGATGATTCGCTGTGGTGACCCCTAACGGGAACAGCCGGAAGAAGAAGAAGTTGACTGAGGCTGAGAGCCCCCCCACCCCCACCACACACACACAGCATCAGGTTTCATCTGAAGTCAATAAACTTCAGCTTCAGACACTGGTTAGGTCATTTGATGATGATGATGTCAGCAGCTTTACCCACAATTCATAGCAGACTAGTCAGAGTGAAGATGTCAGGCGATCAGTTCTGATCAGAGTGGATCTGATGTGTCTGAATATCTGACAGATCAATGATGAAATGTATTGATTCTTGTTTTCAATGAGTGTAGGTCTGATCAGCTGATTGATCCCCAGCAGACTGAGGTGACCTCACATGAATCTAAAGATGGAGCAGCAGTCAGCATTGTGTGGTCTGTGTCTGGCTCCAGGACGCAGCTCTGCTCTCAGGCTGATGAATCACAGGCCGGGTGAAGCTCTTAGAGGTCAACAGCGTGTCCTCAGGGCAGAGCCTCTTGGTGTCAGCCGAGATAAGGACGACAAATCACCCAGCTTCATGTCGAGAGCGGGTCAGCAGCTCACACTGAGGCTCCAGATCCACCGGCCAGGCCAGTAGCGGCGCTGGGCCTGGAACATTTACTGGGTACGTTCATTTATAAGTCGCTGATCTGGACAGAAAGTTCATGTGATATAAAAACAACAGTAAAATGCTTCATGTTACAGGTTTGTTTCTACAGGCCAGTATCACAAATCACAAACGTACCAGTACGACACAACCTCTGTCCTAGTTAGCCTGTTTATTTTATTTTAATTTGACATAAGGAAATCAGCAGTAACATCCAGGACCTGAAAAATCAAACAATCTGAACTGATGACAAGAGATTAAGACGGACAGTAAAGACAACTGTATGATCATGTGACTGATAATGTCAGAGAATAGTCAGATCATAGTAACACAACTACAGCAAACTTCATCAGGAACAAGACTGACATCACAGCTGGATGTTAAGACGTGGTTTCTACAGCAAATAGAAGCACAAAGCGACAGGAGGTCAGTGAACGCATCACTGCTTTCACAGTGTGTGTGTCTGACCTTTGACCCAGAGGACAAACCTAAGATTACCAGAGGTGACGGAGGCAGACAGCTGTGTCTGTGGGAGGCCTAGTTCAGGACAGGAAGTGAAACACTTTCACTCATGAACAGGTTGTCGCCCCCCCTCCTCGTGCTGTGTGGACTCAGTGTGTAGACGTAGTGTCAAAAACACAAGAACACACTCAGCAAAAGATCCTGACCAACGTGTGTGTGTCTAATTTAGTGAAGCTACTGAGGATTTCACACTTCATCCAGCCAGAGAGAAACAACGCCAGCAGGTGTGGGTGTGAAGAATCGGTTTGTGACGAACACACATCTGTTTCACCTTCACACAACCCAGGGAGGGAAGACACAGAGAGAGAGGACACAAGGAGGACACAGGGAGAGAGGACGAGAGAGGACACAAGGAGGGAGGGAGGACACAGGGAGGGAGGAAACATATGTTTGCAGAAGCTCAGTAAACATATGAGTGAAGAAACACTGTGGTCTAGTTGTGTGTCTGTTGTAAACTGTGTTGTAACGTTGTTGGTTTGTTGGTGTGAGTGCTGCAGAAACAGACACTTTAGACCAAACAGCTGAAACACTCCTCACATCTCTGTGCTGTCTGCTGTCAGAACCAACTGTCTGTGGGCAGGTCCATGCTTCTGGGTGGGACAGATGTACGTCCCCCAGCACTGGTCCACTCTTTCAGACACATTTAGTCTTTAGTTGTCTCTGTAACTGCTTCTGCAATGTGTAGCTCAGTGTGTGGAATCAGTCTGAATCACAGACCTGCTGCACCGGTTTCACTTTGTCATGGTTTATGGGTGCTGGACTTTCTAACAGGGAGGCCACAAAATGTGTGGGTCGGTAGCAACATCTCCAAGACCATCACGCTGAACACAGGGGCTCCACAGGGGTGCGTGCTCAGCCCATTGCTCTTCACACTGCTGACCCATGACTGTGTCCCAACCTACAGCACCAACCACATTGTCAAGTTTGCAGATGACACGACTGTAGTTGGTCTCATTACCAACAATGATGAGGCCGACTACAGGAGTGAGGTGTGCCAACTGGAACAGTGGTGGAAGGACAACAACCTCTTCCTCAATGTAGAACAAGTGAAATATAAAGTAGATGAGCAGTAACACAAATCTAAGGCACTTTAAAGCAGCAAGTGAAGGAAGCAAATAAAAATACAACAACAACACAATATAATGCAGAGAGAATATATGCTACATGGAAGCTGTGGAGTGTAAATACTCAGCAGTGAGTGTACAATTATGCATGTGCATGTGCAAAATGAGCATATAAACAGTACAGATGGAGGTTCAAGGATTTTATTGTCAGTTCACCATATGTGCAGGACATACAGAAAATCGAAATGCCGTCTCTCTCTCCCTTAGTATTGGGGGCCATAACATTTAGGAACTAAAATAGAATAAAGTAGAATAAAAATAGAATAGAATAAGAACTGGATTGATGTAATTAGGAGAAATCTAAAAGATACAGACAATTACATGAGGTAGATCCTGAGTCAGCTGTTTAGGAGTCTGATGGCAGAGGGAAAGAAGAGGCGCCCTCCGAGGCAGATGTGTTTGCCCGTTTTCTTGAGTGTGATCCTGGAAAACAAACACACACCCAGTGAAGAGCATTAACAATTCATTACATAATGTTCAGCAACACATATTTTCTGAAACTGTGTTTGTGTCTGCAGCCTTCAGCCACCACTGATGCGACTCAACAGGCGACATCCTGCTCCTCCTCCTCTTCATCATCAGATGCCTCCGAGTAGAGCAGTGATGCAGTGGGTAACAGTCATCTCTCAACCGGAAGGTTGAAGGTTCGAATCTCGGTGCCTGTCGAAGTGTCCTTGGGCAAGACACTGAACCTGCCTGTGATGGCGGCATACATGCAGCGGCCCGGGGCCCTCGGCTCCAAACATAATTTTGTTGTACGTGTCACAATGACAATAAATAAAGCTTCTTCAACTTAAAAACATCCATTTATAATCCAAACACACTAATTGTGTTGGAAGCTTTGAGGTTGGACTGCGTTTATCCTAAAACTGATGGAAATATGATCAGAGTCTGGTCAGATAAATGTCTTCTGCAGTGTGAATATTAACCAGCCAAATACATTACCCATGAGCCTCTGCAAACTCGGTCCTATCAGGGTTTTAAAACAGCTGTGTTTGCGAAATGTTTAAAATGTTGGTTTGTCACATTCAGAATTTCTACTGATTTTATTTTATGTTTCTAGTTTTCCACTTTCTAGCCTGCAAATCACAAATCAGCCATCTTTAAATGTTTAATAGTTCACTGCTGCACTTTTTAACTGTCAATCTGCTCAAAGCTGAAGTTTCCCATTCACTGTGCAGTTTGAACACAGCAGCATCTAGTGGACGGTAGAGGAACTGCAGCTCAGTACACTTTAGCACCAAGGCGAGGCTGCTGATTGGTCAGAACATGTGAGATAAAAACGTGATGACATCATTGCACCATGTGACCAATCAGCAGTGTGGCTTGTAAAGTAACCTACTGACTGTTAAGCTGATTCTGATTGGCTGATTTTCACAGGGTCCTCAACAGATGAGAGATTGACAGAACCTGGACAACACAGTAACACACATACACACACTATATTACAACTGCATCTGATCCGTATTTGTTGGATAATTAGATTCTGGAGTTGAATTCTTAGTTGAAAACAATTCAGTTCCTGAGAAGGAACAGACAAAATCTGACACTAGACTTTCCTAGAAAAGTGATAAAATTACTGCAGGTCAATTTTATTATTGATTGACTAATCTGTAGACTGTGTCAGCTGTAGTTTTGGCTGAGGAGTAAACAGATCTGTGGTGTTTCTGCGTAAGGCGGCTTTAACCCTCAAATGAATTATTATGCTTGAGTCCATCAGTCACTGCTGAAGTGATCAATAAGTTGCTCATGAAGCCAAGATTTTCTGATTTGCTCTGGGTTTAGACTGCTGGACAGACAAAAGATGTTTGGGGACATCATGCTGGACATTTGGTGGCATTTCAGGACATTTACAGACAAACAACAGTTAACTATAGATAATAAATCATAGTTGCACCTTTAGTCTAGAGAAACAGAAAAATCAAAGCAGCAGCAAATGAATTTGCTTTATTCTGAAAAAGGAAGCATTGAAACAATGAAATGATATTTTGAAAAGTCACTTCCTGTCATTGTCCAGTCAGAGTCCAGGAGGTCACACCAGGTGACCACAGTCACCCACAATCCTTTGTTCTGGCTGGATGAGCCCATGCTGAGCTATCACGGTCCAGTCAGATTGGGTCTGTTGTCCTCTGTGACATGATGTCATCACACAAACTGTCTCGGCTATTCAGCCAATCAGCTGCGAGCTTACAGTAAAACAAGTAAAGAGGCATCGACCAGAAGCTACAAGTCCTACTGACTCCACCAATCAGCTCCCTGTCCTCCATCAGTCTCAGATTAAAGCTGTTACCATGGAAACGGGAGGAGGACAGGATGCCTGAGAAAGCAACGGGTCACATCCTGTCTTGGTGACCTCACTTCCTCTGGGCAGGGCCTTTGTGGAACAGGTAGATTGGCCGCTGCTTACCTGGAAACATGAACACACAAACCTTAGTGGTAGAAACGTGCAGACAGATCTGATTGTGGTTTAACTGTTAACATCCAGGTCCTGTTCCAAGATTAACACCATCCAGTGCTGTCATATGTGGAAACAGACTGGCAGCACCTGGATTAACCCGACTTCTGCAGTCACTAGTTTAGGGCTGTGGTGGGAAAACAGTGGCTCGTGGACCAAATCTGGCCTTCCAAAGTACCTGTCTCCCCCAGTGAAAACCAAAGTTTTCATGCAACACCCAACAAACCTGCTTCATGAAATGGACAGTGTGTGTGTGTGTGTGTGTGTGTGTACCTTTGTGTTTGAGGAGTCTGTATGAGGTGAAGCCCACGCTGTCAGTCAGGTACGAGGTGAACTGCTCAGGTCTCAGCCTCACACTCCGGTAGTTACGAAACGTGGTCGCCTGCAGAACAGCATTTAAATTATTACTCTGTTTGAATAAATGAGTGAACTGTGCGACCTGGAGCTTGTGTATTTCAGCCCTGTGTGTGTTTGTTTTAGTGTTTTTATTGTGTTACCGAGGCCCTCTTGTTGTGGCTGTAGCTGCTCCATGGTTGTGTCTCCAGGATGAGCAATCCGCCCGGCAACAGGCTCTGATAGACTCGTTTGAACAGTTTGACCACGCCCCCATCACCTGACTGCAGCTGCACCCATTTGGTTACGCCCAGGCACACGATGACATCATACTGACCATGCCCAGGCCACACCTCCTGCTCTGACACATAGTCTCCCTGTGTGACGATGTTAACAGCTGTGGTGTCAGCATGATGTCTCAATGTATATACAGATTATCAACAAGTATCTATCATGTTACAGGTGAGACTCACCTGGATGAAGGTGACATTGTTGGGAAACCTGGAGGAGGAGGAGGAGGGAGGCCGGAGGAGAGAAGGAGCAGAGAGGGGACCCCGACTCACTCTGAATGACAGGGGAAAGGAGAGGTGGGAGAGAGCCTGCTGGAACTCCCCCATCACCTCCTCCATTGCCCCCTCCATCACTCCCTCCTTGATCTGTCCTCCCCCTCCTCCATGTTTCTTTGGGGGAGATGAAACAGCTATCAATCTTCTGTTCTTCCTTCTCTCCTCCACCACCAGGTCTTGTGACAGGAAGTGTCTGACATTCTGCTTGGCAGCATGCACCAATCGTTCATCTAGCTCCACCCCCAGGATGTGGGTGGGGTCAAACCAGCGGGCAATGGATAGTGTCATGTGGCCAACACCACACCCCACATCCAGCACCTTCTTGTCTCTGAACCAACTGGCTTCCAGCAGGCGGAGCCGCGGATCCTCCTCTGACCCCACCCGCCCCTCCCAACTTTCACCATAAAAACCGTTATAGCCATAGTAGCTGCTGTGGTTGCCATACTGATAACGGTGTTTGTTCTTCTTCTTCTCTGGTGGCTGAGCAGAGCCAATTGGAGGTCCTCCATACCTGCAGGGAGTGTCACATGTCATGTGACTGCAGCATCCATGTAGATTATAGTCTGAGTCATTTCAGGAGTAAGGCTCACCTGCTGGGTTTAGACCCTCCCATCAGAGGCGTCTGGAACTTGGTTGGCTGAGCTGTGGTTGCCATAGTGACAGCGCCTGTGGCGCCATCTGCTGACCTTGTGGAGGTGGTTCGCCGTCGTTTCTGCTGACGACCATCCCCCTGGATACCAGGCTTGTTGGTGTAGCTTGGTGGAGGATGGGTGTGTCTCCTGGGGAGGATGGGCAGGGCTACATCTTCTCGACAGGTTATGGTTGTGTTGAGTTCACCGGGGAGAGGAGATGGAGGGACACTGCCCTCTCTGGTCAACTGAGGTACTGCAAAGGAAAATGAACATGATAGACATGTTACTGACAGGAGCACTGCGTCGTCACGATCAAGGCTTAATTAACAGGTGAACTGGGGCCTATTTCAAGAAGGCGGTTTTGTCGAAACTCAGAGTTTGTTAACCCCGAAATGAGGGAAACTGAGTTTTCGGTTTCAAAAACGGAGGTAACTTAAACCCGTGAAGCGGGGTAAGTTAAACCCGTTTCATAAAGAGAGGTAATCTAAACTCAGAGTCAGTTACTATGGCAACTTACTCTGTGAACCTAACCTGCTTGGGAGCAGGTTTTGTTCGGGAAACTCAAGAGTTTCCTCCGGGTCTCCGCCCCTTTTTAAAGTGAAAGGTGTTTAATACCTCATTTAATCTTTCAGTACATTCATAGATTGCACACGTTTCC